CCATCAGGGCTTGCTGGTGCGTGTACCTAGCTTTTCTCCTTTATTTGAAAGCACTCCTTGAACTTACCTGCGAGTTCACGTAGTCAGCCTCTGCCGCGTGGTCTGTGTTGCATTCTTTCAGTGTTTTCACAGAAGACAGTCCCAAAAAACCCCGCATAACTGGCTTTGCAAGGTAACTTTTCAGTCTGCCCTTAGATAGGTTTCAGTGTCTCAGAACAAATGGTTACTGTCCTATTTCAGCTGGTTTTAAAGTGTTTGATTTCTAGGGTATTTTTTTTTTTACTTTCTCTCTCCTAAGGTTTCCTATGCGCGACCAAGTTCTGCTTCTATCAGAGATGCAAATTTATATGTTAGCGGACTTCCAAAAACAATGACCCAGAAAGAACTGGAACAGCTCTTTTCCCAATACGGACGCATTATTACTTCTCGTATTTTGGTTGACCAAGTGACTGGTAAGTAGGCAGTTTTGCAGTTCCTCCTCTTCTTGGACTGGCAGTTTTAAGAAATATTTCACCTTTCAGTACAATGGTCTTGTCCCTAGAATGTATGAAAGGTGTATGTAGGCCAGAAAATGCAATTTTCTGCTGGAATTGTTCATAAATATGCATGGACAAAAATAGATTGTTGTGTGTGCTATGCCAGCTTGAGTCATTTCCACCCTGAAGGTGCGGGTTTGAAGCCTGTTTCATGGCTTGTAATAAATTTACAGCTGCTATAATCTTCCTTTCCAAGCTGCTGTGTGAAAATAGTCCCTATGCGCCTTATGAAACACTGTTAAACACTTTTTATAAAAAAATAATTTTATGCAGAAATGCACAGCTGGTTCTCTGAGGCTAGGATTACAAAAGACCCAGACTGGTAACTGCTGTTAAGACTGTTCCCAAGGTTGCCTCATTAACTTTGGGCACACTGAAGAATATGAACTTAGTTCCTCGGAGCAGTTAAGCTCTGCGCTTAGCAATGCCCTGAAGAACTAAGGTCTAGCAGGTTAGATGCATTGGTACAATATGTCTTAACCAGCGAGTGGGTGTCGGTGACGCTCCTGTGATTACTCTTCACATTTGGACAGTAATGCATGTGTGTTTGCTGGCTGAAATGGCTGGTCTTGAGGAGCTTTGTAATTTGTTGCCTCACTTGCTTCCAGGGGGCCTGTTCCAAAAATAAGTAATCAAATGAAATGCCAAATACATGACGGAAATATTGAGTGTGCAAAGCAAAACAGAAAGGAGCAGGGACTCTCCAAATTCTCATATTCAAAAAAAACCACCAAACAACTAGAGGGGTGGAAGAATTCATTTACTCATGTTAACTATTCCCCAAATAATAGGCTAGCCTGTGGTTTTTAATAGGTGTACCTTTTCAAAGTTGCACGTTGTTATGGGTGTCAAACAGCTCTCAGCTGTAGGAGGTCTTAAAGTTTTCAAATGGTCTCACTTGGAAGGGATTGTACATGCCAGTGTTTCACACTTGGCTGACCTGTAGAAAACCTTGTACGTACTCCTTTGCAATTTCTTTATGTTAGAGAAATCACAGTATTGACACGTGGTACTTATGGAGTGTTTTAGTTGTGTGAGTTGGTGAGTGTGGAGGCAGGGAAAGGGGAAGCTAAATGCCAAATAGTGATTTATAGAAGCAGCAGATTTGCAGCGCAAATTTCCAGTCTTTGTGCAATAAATAGGTGTTTAGACTATGTTCCTGTATATTTATGCATAGAAATGGTGGGATTTGACAAATGGGCCAAATAACTAAATGCAACTGAACTTTTAAATGTGTACTGTAATTCTAAGTACTTATAAATCCTAGTATGTGTGTAGTAGTTCTCTGGCACAGACTGTTTAGTTTTAAGCTTTCTTCTCTCTTTAGTAATTTGGAAGAAGTAGACTCAATTATATGAATAAGGTTGTGACACAAACTGACAGCTTAAAAATGCAAAGCTGAAGCTGTGACATTTGCCTCTCTCAAGCTCTTATGCCTGCTCGTTGTCACTTTGATGGTTCAGATTGTCATTGTTTTTGAACAGAATACATTTCTTGTTCTTAACATCTTTCTCAAGTGAGGACGAGTGTTTAACTTGTCTGTTTATTCATGAACCAAAATATGAGGGGCCTGTAAATGGATTCAGTGTATTTCAACAAAGCATGCAACTGAGTAGTGTTTGTTGTAGCTTTAATGTTAATTGGTTCAAGTATTGACACCTCCTTGTGTTTCTGTTTAAGCCACAGTATAAACTTTTGAGTGCTTGATGATCCCCTTGCATGTTGCCTTTGACTTTTCTATACCAAGGAAGAACCTGTGGCTCAAATGTTTCCTTCAGAAACGACACCTATAAGAGTATGGTGATATGCTGAAACTGAATCTCTTCTTAGAGGTGACCATGGACTGTTAAGACAAGGCCATAATTCCCAATACTACCAGCTAGGAATTGCACTCCATTCCTTGTCCTCTCAGCATATTTACTCCAAAGATAAATTCAAGGGATGCTCCAGGAGAGGATAAGAAATTTCTTGCTGCTAGGGAGCAGATGACTCAGGTATTTCTAGATTCACAGAAATTCTGTATACTGTGGAGTAGTATGATCTGAACAGAGGTTAGTGTAGCTTGTTCTGGGTTCACCCCCATTCTTCTTCTCCCCCACCCCATTTTCTTTGTTTCAGAAATAATCTTTGGGTCAATATGTTTAAGTTTTCTCCACCACTGTGTTTTCCCTCAGGTTTCCAAGCTTTCTTACATCGTGTATCTAATGAGTTAAAAATAATAGAAAAAAGGCTGTAGAAAAGTCTTACTACTTTCAGCAGAAACTCAGTTCTATCTAATAAGCTCAAATTTATCATGTGTTTGCAACAACTGGCGATGAGAATCCAATGTTAACATCTAATTATTCTAGATTGTGATTTAATTATATGCTTCCTTCACCCTGTGCAGGAGTATCAAGGGGCGTGGGGTTTATCCGGTTTGACAAACGAATTGAAGCAGAAGAAGCTATCAAGGGCTTGAATGGCCAGAAGCCTCCAGGTGCCACAGAGCCCATCACTGTAAAGTTTGCTAACAATCCCAGCCAAAAAACCAATCAGGCCATCCTTTCCCAGCTGTACCATTCCCCAAACAGAAGGTATCCTGCACCTCTAGCTCAGCAGGCGCAACGGTTTAGGTAAGTCAAACATTTATGTGCAACTGTGCTGGAAGCCACATGTTCCCATGGGCCTGTTTGTTCCCCTCCCTGCTTCTCTCCTCCTGTGTGTGTGAAGGAAATGCATGAAAATGTTAAACTTCATCTGTGATCCTACAGTACAGCTAAAAGTGAAATGCATTCCACCCTACTGATAGCATTTCAGTACCTAATAAACCTACTCAGAGTTAAACTGAAATGACAACTTTTTCTTCTATACAGTCACTAAAACTTTTTCAAGGTTATTTTTAATTTCTGAAAGTATTGTTGGATTAATGTGCAAGCTGATCCAGTTAACACACCTAGGTGATGCAATTTTCTTCTTAGCCATATGGCATGCCACACCCAGCCTATTCTTCCCCACCCCCTACCTTCCTTCCTTGTTGTGGCTTTCAGGTTTTCCCCCCCCCACCAGTCAGTTGTGTAAATCCTGTATACCACACTCTGTCTTCTCTTACAAGAGAATTCTGTCATGAAGGTTATTCAAATATTTCTGCATGCGTTTTTTGTGGATACATGTTCCCATTGTGTTGAAATTACATCGGTACAGTTCCCGGTGATACTTAGTGTATTGAAAAGGACAGATGGTGAGAACAAAGTGAGACACATTATCTACATTCTTGAGTACCTCAGACTTTTTTCAGTGATTTTGATTGTTTTCTCCCACCCTCTGGCTGCGTGACTGGAATGTGTTAAGCAGTAATATACTCAAACAGTTTCTATTTTATTTTTCAATAAATAAAATCAGCTGGCAGTTTTCTTCAAAGAGAGTGTCAGACTTCAAAAGCTCTGCGTTGCCTACCCTCACTTTCAGGCTGAACGTGCAGGGTTCATGGACTGTGCTTCTGGCAGAACTTCTGAATTCCTCAGCTTTTCAGCCTTGTGTTGTGCAAGTGTCTCACAGGTGTGAAGGTCAGCACTAGAGTAGGCTTTCTGCCCTGAGGGAAGGGATAACAAATTTTATTTGTTATTTGGTGGAGTTTCTTGCCATTTCTTAGGGAATAAAATGGTTAATTTAGACAGCGTGCTGAATGTTGAATAACAGTAGGCTTGCCATTGTTCCCTAGGCAGAGCTTAGGGGTAGAAGTTGCACTTGCAGGAGGGACTGAAGTGCATTATATGAAGTAAGTTAATGAGGGGAACTGTTGTACAGTCAGTGTGTTACAGCATTTCAGCATATTCAGGGAAGTCTGGCCTGCTGGCTGCTTGAGCTCTGAGTGCGCTTGTCCCCAGATACTTGGCTGAGTTTGGTATCACTGTGATACCGGCTGGGGTAGCAGTTGTATCTAACTGATTGCCCAGGTAGAGCTATCACGATTTGTAAAAATTATCCAACTTCTGGAGTTCTTCCTTCACGTAGGACCTAAAGTTCTTTGCAGTTAAGTAATTTCAATAGTCTACCCCTGTCCTGAAACATTAGAGTTTGAACTGTGAATTTTACTTGATTGTGGTTTTTACTAAAGTATATTTCAATGAATACCCATGTGTTTCTGGTGGGTTTTTTTTTTTTTTCCTGATATACTGAGGATAAAGTGATGCCTGAAAGAACAGTGAGAGATACTGTGATTTGTTCCACTTAAATTACAATGGTAACAAAACACTGAGTGGGTACCAAATCTGCAGTGAATATAGGAGGGATAGTAAAATTTTCTCACTTTTATTGATATGGAAGGAAGAACAAGGTTGAACTGACTGGTCAAAAGGTAAACTGGGGTTGCAGACGAAGTTACATGCTTTATGTATGATTTTGGGAGAAGGCCCTTCAGGCTTCTGTTTCATCTCTTTTAGAGACAGCCTTACCAAATTTTAAATTTTTATAACTGTAAAGGGGAAATCTGTCTCTTTTGATATCTTTGGCCTTTGCCGCTGTTGCAGCATTCTGTCTCTGCTGACTGCGTAGTAGTTCAGATTGCACCGACTTCAGATCTTTTCACGTCTTTCACATGCAAGAAATCTTAGCGGTTGACGTTTCAGACAGGATTACCTGATGCAGTTGCCCTGTCTCTTCTCAACCGTTGACAGGGACTAAACTTTAGCGGTGAAGAACAACAGGATCAAATGCAGTGCTTCTTTTTGTTACTAAGAACAATCTTGAGCGGTATGTTGAAAAGCAGCTGCATATAGTTGTTCCTCAGTTTCTGTAGGATGTGTAAATTTTGAACTTTTAAAACGTTTAAAAATTTAAATGTAATTTAGAATTGTCCCGTGAATGTCCCTGAGAATTTTTCCAGAATATTTTTGTCCAAGTAACTGATGGAAATTGTTAAGGTGTACGAAGTTACTGCATGAAGTCCTCCTCCTGGTCGTGGAGCAGTCAGCCCTGTAAATAAGGGTCTGTCTGCAACTCTTCGCCTTCTCCACCCCCAAATGTCAATGGCACTAGGCCTCTGCCATCCATACTAAGTCTACTGATAGTAGTCAGGCATTTTTTAATTTCCTCTCTTCTGCTCTTCCAGAGGTTCAGTGCCTTGCTTTCTGCCTGCTCACCGCACAATCGTAACGCTCCGTAGTTTGAGACCTTTATGTAGCTGCAAACAAGACCAAGTATTTTTTCAAGTTTTTTGTGCACAAGTACAGCTGTACTCATGAAGCACTTGTGTAGACAGAGTCCCAACCCCAGGTTCTTAAATCCTGTAGCTCATTATAGTGAGAAATCACAATAAGGTGCAGATCTGTAGGACAGCTGAACCCTAACGTGTACCTTTTTTATCCAGGCTCATATTTTATGGAGTCCTGAAGAGAACCTTTAGCAAGACTTTCTCTTCACATGTCAGGGGTTTGCCAGGAAGGAAGTAGAGGTTCTTTAGGGCGGATATTTTCTTAGGGGTGCACTTTAAGGGACTTCAGGAGTAAGATGAATAGGATTGATAGGCTCTGCATGTTCTGGGTATTGGCTAGGTAATTGCAAAGGGTTTAGAGTTGTGGTTGCGCACTGCAGTTTAGCAGCTTCGGGGAAGGTGAGGGAGGAAATAAATGTCTTTAATATATGTGTGCGTATGCCAAAATCACTTTATTCTGGAAAAGAGTAGGAACATGAAAAATCTTTTTTTTTTTTACAGTTCGGGTACTAACATATGTTACTGCTCCAAAACCCTCTGTATGTCTGGATATTCATGTGAGCAGACTATCAGGGGACTTACTGAAATCTTCCAAACCAAGTTAGTGATCTGGAATATTTCACTGAGGTGGTGGTCACTCTCTGTAACTATACGCTAATGGTAATCAACATAGGCTAAACGTGTGGTAGTGGTGCAGTTTCTGAACTGAACTTTTTCTGGTTGAGGATACTATGCCAGAACATCTGTTTGGTATTCTCTAACCGTATCAGGTGTAAGAGGGTGCCACAGTTACTTCAGTGGTGATTCTTTAACTTTGCATGAGGTTCTGTACTGTGCAAGGGATGGGGCAGTAATACACTAAGTTTCATTAAGATTAAAGAGTGGACAAGTCTCAAGACTGAACTCTTTGCTAAATATTTTGCAGGTTGGACAATCTGCTCAACATGGCTTATGGAGTAAAGAGGTAATAAAGGCCTATTAGTAGGTCCATGGTAACCAAATTAAGTATTTTGCATACTCTTACTTTTTCATAAGGCTTCAGTTGGATTTTATTTTTTGCATGTTGAGACTTCAGCTGAAATTTTTTGTTTTGGGGCATCGTGCATGAGAGACAAACCTTTCGTAGCAGTCCCATGGAATTCCCAATTCAAATTACTTACTGATCTTCATTGGTTTTGTAGCATGTTTTTCTTTTGTTTTCCTGTGTTACTTCATTTCAGACTGGCCTAGCACTGTTCTCTAATAGTGTACAGTACTGTGCACTGGATTTGTGCAGTTGGAGGGGAAAAGTTGTGATGCTACATTCTTACTCCAACCAGGATATTCATGCTGTGAAAACCCTTGTGTAACTTCTGTGTTTTGCTAAAATTTTCTGTGAACAGCTAACTTACTATATTTTTTCCTTGTTCTCTAGCAGGTTTTCTCCGATGACCATTGATGGAATGACCAGTTTGGCTGGAATTAATATCCCTGGACATGCAGGAACTGGGTGGTGCATTTTTGTGTACAACTTGGCCCCTGATGCTGATGAGAGTATCCTCTGGCAAATGTTTGGGCCCTTCGGAGCAGTAACCAATGTGAAGGTCATCCGTGACTTTAACACCAACAAGTGCAAAGGTTTTGGATTTGTGACTATGACAAACTACGATGAGGCAGCTATGGCAATAGCCAGCCTGAACGGATACCGCCTCGGGGACAGAGTATTGCAGGTCTCCTTCAAAACGAACAAAACGCACAAAGCCTAACAAGTTTTATTCTCAGTGCATTACTACATGAAAACTATACAACAAAGGCGATTTACAAGAAGCTTTAGGCATTAGTAAATGCCTTTGTTGTATGCCAGTGTGGAAATGGGGATAAAATGACTACTTAGCATCCTAAGAATATGTGAGATTTTGTATTGCTAATATTTGAATTAAAACTTCTTAAATATCTTTTGTGTTTGCATATTGACAAGAGGTGCAGGGTTTTTACCTGTCACAATGCATATTCTATTGCCTTCTTTGAAGAAGGTGGACCTTTTAAAATGTTCCAGCTAAGGGAAGAAGTTTTTGCTTTGAACATGACTGCCTTTAAGATATGAGTAAATATTGAGGCTTTGTGTTACACTTAGGTTGGTCTTTATTTCTTGATTTGCCTTGTGTTTAATTTACATTTTGATGCATTCCTGTTTTGTTGTTCAAGAAAAGTATTTGAAGTTTATTTTATTTATAAAGTTATAAGCAGTATTTATTTTGTAATTATCGTTTGGGTTGGGGAATGGGAACACATTATAAAAGCTTATTGTAAGAATACTGGAGAACTTTTCGTAAAGCAGTACCTTGCCAAAGAGATAAGAGCCTCTTTGATGTGGGTTTAAAAAGCATCTATTTTTATAAAAAAAAAAAAAAATTTGGAGAAACTTTTTACTGGTCCTGGAACAAATATTTTGACTTGAATACTTTGAGAAATCTTCTTCATATGACACCTAGTGAGCTTTTAAAACTTACCAGGAAATTTGCAGCTGTTGGGGAAAATTTAGAAAGGTTTATGATGTAGAAATACTTTTGAGACCTTTGTATTAAGAAGTAGAGTCAGTGGGGTGCACTGTTGGTTTCGTTTTGGTAATCATCAGTGGAGTCTTTGACCATCCTGGTTATTAAGTGATAGTTGGCTCACATTTGTGATTTTGAAACAAATGAAAATTAAAAAAAAAAGAATATAAGAGCAAGCAGGAAACTTAAAATACTGAGAGATGGGGGAAAAAATCTGTTCTTCCTAAAGAATTCCCTTCAGATAGAGCTCATGGTGTTTAGTGATGTACTTGCTATTGTTTGAAGACTTGTTTTGTCTGAAGAAAAGACATTGAGCATGGTTTGCGCAGTAGCAAATCAGCAGAAGTGGCCTGAGTTGGGTGTGTTTGGAGGTATTTTTGAAAGTTACGTTCAAGGCTAACACCTGAGCTTTGTGTAATGTAAATAAGACCTTGAGTTATGAACCTTTCAGCTGATTTCAATTAGTTTATTTTCTAAGTTACATGCCAAGTGGTGTTCAATTTTGAATGTTTTTGTATAAGTTTTTTCTTTGTAAATGGCATTAACATTGTTACTTGAGGTCTGCTTACTCATTTTTGTTGTCCTGAGGACTTGAATTTACAGTGCATCAGATCTGTTGCTATTTTTGTCTGTAGATAGTCTAGCTTCAGCTGTTTATGGTGATGCTACATTTTTGTTTATAAATATGTTTGTGGTAAAAAACAAGTATAATCATAGGTTTTGAACAAATTTCCTTACATTTTTCATAAAAAACCATAAATACCTGTATGCTATTGAAATTTAACTTTGTATGATGCTTAAATCACTATTTGGGGAAATAGAAAGTCTTTACCACATATTGAAGAAATTTAAGAAAAAAGATACAGAATATTTTCTGATTAGCATCTAGCTTATAATTAAAATTTAAAAAAAAAGCTGAGGGTTTGATGCCTTCACCAGGATGCACTGACAAGTATGTAGTTACGTCCTGCTTTTTGTATAAACTGAGATGCTCATATGCTTCCCCTTAGAAAAAGCAATGTTCTATGCATAACATAGTGAACTACCTTTGCAGTTGCTTTTGTTTCTTCTTTTAAATCGTAGTTATAAATTTTTCAGTATAGTACAGTACATATACTGTGAAGCGCGTGCTAAAGTGAGTAAGCGAGTTTTCATGCTGACCCACTCAATGCTATTCAAAAATCGATTGGCTTCCTGAGCACTTCCTCATTCTTAGGGGCATTTAGATTGTTAAAGCTAATCCTCTGCATTAAAAATTGTATATACTATAGAAATCACAAACTTTTTTCCAATGTGGGGAAAACAGTAGCTACATGCTTCTTTCCTATACTACTGTAGCAACTAACGGCATTGATGAGAAGGCATGTAAATTTGGCTTCACTTTACAGTGTTTACCAGAGCACTTATTTAAATATAAGGCTGGTATTTATTTGAAGTTGTATAGTATGACTTAATTCACATCTGTTGGAATAGAAAATATATTCTGTTGAGTATTTAAAAGGTTGTACATGTTTTCTTTTGTGTTTGGATCCTTTGTACTTTTTCATGTTCAGTACATCAATAAACAAAAGTTGAAGGGAAAACAGTGTCACGAGCAGGTCATTACCCACTAAAGCAGAAGACAGCATGGTAAGCAGTCGGAGTGAAAGCTTTGTGCAAAGCTCTTGAGCTCCTTTTAGCTTAGGGTCCCAGTTAACAACAAGGAGGTAAGGCAGTGGAGCTACAGACCAGTTCTGTTACGGTAGAATTCGTGTTGAATCTCTGAATTTTATCAGCCTAGGTATTGAGTGGCTCTTATATAATAAATGAGGGTCGTTAAACACATTCAGTAAAAATCAGTTTGCTGTCTGCCTAGCAGACTGCTATTCAGTGTGGCTAAGTTAATGCCCTAGTGTGTTAGGATAAACACAGAGGAGCAGGAAGGATTTACTCTATTGCAATGTCCATTTACTGTTAAATTACTGCATTAATTTCTAGACTCCATTAATTGAGTGGCTATTCAGTTAACCAGAGTTTGCCATTCTTTTCCCTTCCCAGCTTATTCTTTAAAAACTAGTCAACAGTCTCTTGCCCTTTTAAAGTACATATATTCCTAAATTAGCTTTTCTCAACTGGATGAGAGTGAATTGCCACCAGGGAGAACACAGTTCCAAAACTGGCTTATGCAGAGTAGGTTTTATTTTTAACTGGTTTTTCTTTCACCTTTTTTTTACGTGTCAGAAAAATCTCACAGTAAATAAAACCTTGTAGCATGTGACGTGGTGTGGAGCATCTCACGTCCCGACTGTGTGATGGAGCTGAGTTTACTTGGATGATGGGGTCGTGAGTCTGTGAACAACACACGTAGATAATAGTACCTCGAGATGTCAGTCATAACCAGTGTTAACAAACTGAGTCTTAATATTTACTTCAGAAATAGGGTGTACTGATGACTTTTTATGCAGTTATGTTCTTTTGTGGCTGGAGTAATGAGAGGATGCAAGACATAGTGCTTGGCAGCAAATGAGGAGCTATATTTGGAGTTCATATTCCGGCAGGGACATCTGTGTGTTCAGCTTGCACTCTTTCACGGAAGGGTAGTTTTAGTTCTCAACTTACACCAGTCTGAGTACAGTGTAACTAGCCACAGTTGAATTATTTTGCTACATGGAAATGAGGATAAAATGTGTTTATGTAATTGCCTTTGGTTTAAGATCAAAACTGCTTATATTTTGAGGGGTAGCTGCAGAAAAGCAGGCAGTCAAGGAGCAACAGTAAAAATTCATTTGTAACTGTAGTTGCCTAGAGGAAAGGTCAGTGCTGAAAAATACAAATTTGGTTATATGTAGCCGAGCAACTCTGGGTAGTCGGAGCTCAGGAGTAAAGGGAACCTGATGGAAACTTATATGGAGGGTAGTACTTTTCTTATGATATTAAAGCTTTATGATAAAGCTAAGAAGGAATATCTGGAACTGCTTCATGCAGTAAGGTGGAGGAGGTCTAGTTCCTAAATAAGAGTTCCAGAAGTGTCCATAGATGTCTGTGTGGGACTCACGGTGGTAGATTAGACAAGATGGAAGCATGACCCTGGCAGAGGGTGAGCTGTACTTGGGTGTTAGCTGGAGCACTTGTGGAAGGGCTTCGTTACCGCAGAAATGTGCTTGAGGCTTGTGTGGCGGCTTCTGCAAAGGATGCACACAAGGAAATCGGTGGTGACAGGTGAACTTCCCACCTGCATCGAGAAAAGGGTTCCTTTGGCAAGAGCGTTTTCCCAGTGTGAATGAAAAAGGTGCGTTTTCTAAAGCAGACAGCTGTCCATTGGGGTTGTACACAGTGTGTATTCACAGCATAACACCCGGGGCTCATCTAGTACCATAAGTCTGGGATACTCGTACTGCTGAGCCAGGCCTGACTAATGTTTATTTCCTCTTGTACTGTCACTTCAGACACTGCGTGAAGGTGATAAAATGTGTAGGGATGGTGACTTGAAAACCAGCAACGATTTAGGAATTACGATTGGAAAATTACAGCTTTGTTTTATAAGTGGTGTATTTCAGCTTTTTTTACTATTAACAGTTTGAGAAATGGACACAATTTGAGATGTGCTCCATCATGGGTAAACTAGTAGCTTGGGATTGTGCTATTTCAACCCTGTTGATACAACTGTGCTTGTACCTTCTTTAATGTTGGACTCTGGGTGTCACAACTGGGCAGACAGACCAGCATTTCAGTGTGTGCATCTCGGAATGAAGAAGCATGCACCTGTTTTTACACTGAAGTTACGTTTGCAGAGGCACCTGTCTACAGACTACTGCTGTGATGACTAATGCTTTGGGCCAGCAGATGTGCAAGCACATCAGAGGTCGTCTGGGTGAAGCTGGTTAAAGCAAAGCAGGGGAGAGAGGGAGTTGTTAGTGGGAGGAGGTGGAACAAGTACACTGGTAATGTGGGAGATCTGCTGTCGGGGTGAAGAGCAGTTTTAATCTCAACAGTGACTCGCTGCCCACACTTTCAGTAACTGACAGAAATAAGGAAGCAACGTAAACTTTCAAGTACCTTCAAAGCAATATGAGTGACTTAAGTGGGTTAAGAGGTTGCCTGACTTTATGCTGTCAAGTCTGATGCATTACTGTCTAATCTTGCAATTACTTCTGTTTTCTGTTTTCAGCCAGCATTCTGCTCAGAGAGAAATGGTAAAAAAAGAAAACAATTTTTTTTTCTTTATACTTCTAAGGACACTCTAAACAGCAAGCATAACTGCAGACAGTTAAAAATAAGAAATTATGTGCTATATCATAGAATGGTTTGGGTTG